TTACATTAGATTGTTAACATCATGAATATATACTGTACATGTAAAGTCTAAGTGTTAGTACACCTTTATTGAACTGATGAATGCATTGGTTTCGTGCCTTAAAAAGTACATTATTTGAACCCTTTTTTTATTGTTTTTTAACGTAAATACACTGACACACAACATTCTAAGCTATAGGAAATTTGTATAATCACTCGATAAAACACGGACGCACTCGAAAAAGCCCGGACTGCTCTCGAAAAAACCCGAACACATAGAAATGAATTTAGTCTCAAAATATCATTTTTTCAATGCAACAACAAGAATTTTTGTAAAGTGTCTGTATATCTAAGGATATATGGATTCCATGTATGCATTTCCATCGACGTTTGCATTGGTATGTGTATAAAAATGGCTTAATTCTGTTTTTTGGAATAAAAGCCTTGTAAGGCTAAATTCAACTTTTTGAACGAAAAATAATGTCGGATTGATAATATCTTTTTATCTCAAATACTAACACACCTTGTATATCCTTGTATATTAAACTCAAGCTTCTATATCACGTTTTTTTTCAGAAAGTAAGTCTGTTTGTTTACATTTTTGATCATATTCACTCGAAAAAAAGTGGTCACACTCGAAAAAACCCTATCAAATCACTCGAAAAACCACGATCCTAGCCGGACACTATACCTACCGTGCAAATTGTGACTTGGATTGAGAGTTGTCTCATTGGCACTCATACCACATCTTCTTATATCTATTGAAAGGCTAGCAGTGCATGCATTTTCAGAACGAGAAAAACCATACGGATATTATATCGTTTCTGAAAAGTGGGTGGACTAAAAGGATTAGCGACTAATTTTGACTTCCACAGTCAACACGAATGTCATGTAGTCGCAAAATTGTTTCCTTACAACAGGCGACCTTTAAATCCCAAGTTGAAGTTTTTGTAAAATAGAGGCGAAAGATACCAAAGGGATATTCAAACTCATAAGTCGAAAATAAACTGACAACGCCATGGCTAAAAAAGAAAAAAGACAAACAACATCACACAAAACACAACATAGAAAACTATAGACTGAGCAACACGTACCCCACCAAAACCCGGGGGTGATCTCAGATGCTCCAGAAGGGTAAGCAGATCCTGCTCCACATGTGGCACCCATCGTGTTGATCATGCAAGTTCAAACCCGGTGACAATCTAATTCGGTAGGCCACATTCTGGGGAAAAGGGCACGGGATTGTAGTTACGACAATTGGAACACATCCGTTGTCATCTGTGAAACAGACATTCCATAACTGTCAACCAACTCGTGATGGCGTTCGTAAAATTTTTAAAGGGATGAATTCAACTTCATCAATTGAAACTCTTGATTTAATAGCTTCCTTATGAGCAGCAACCCTCTATCAAGGAAATACAAATCTTGAAATATCGTATCAGTAATAGTTATCCCATGAGGACGCGGTCTCCTGCCATCGGGGTGATCTTACACTGACACACCAAGTCCGAGCTCTTCTAGACTATATGAAAAAAAAACATTTACGCTTCATACCATCTAGTTCAGAATGCCATACAATAATTATAATATACTTTATATATATTACTATATAGTATGTACCCTTTATGAGCCCCGGATACAATGTTTAAATATGTTGAATTAACAGTGAGTTTGTATCCAGTCGTCCTGGTGTATGGGTATCAATCGTGGCTTCACATGCTTAAGGTCTTGAGTTCAATTCCCCATATAGACACTGGAAAACTAGTGGATTTTTTCTACATTAATTTTGAAAGTTAGTTTTTATTCCGAATAGATATTTCTAAGATTTATTGTGTGTTCAACATTCCCGCCAAAATGTTACAGAACAAAAGAAAGCATGCAGAACAAAGAAACTCAAGGTACGGTGATCTGGTAGGGGTGATCCGATCCGACTCAGATCACCCCTGTTAGAACAAAGGGGTAGGGATGTAAACTGGGAGATATATACTCCGTATTCAGGCGTTGCTGGAATGTTGCTACATAGAAATGGAAAGTTCACAATTGGGAAACTGAAATCATCTCTTTTATCGTAAAGTTTTGTTTTCAACCGACACTCATTTTCTAGATGTAAGTCAAGATATGAGGCAAACCTTAACTGTATCTGTTGCTTCCTTTATCTCAATTTCGATGGGATAGATGCGTTCAACATAGTCACCCAATTCTGAATTATTTAGTGAGAGAACATCATCTATTATAGCGGAAAGTGAAGTTAAAGGATACTGCTAACTTCTTTTCTTTCTTCCTAAGAAGTTCCTGTATGAAGTCAGCCTCGTATGAATAAAGGAACAAGTCGGCAAGAAGAGGAGCACATGTACAGTTGGTTCCCATGGGAATGCCTATAGTTTGTTGAAAAACACGTAACAAATATGTTGTCTATCAAGAAATCAAGCATCTTGATAATGTCAGTTTCAGAGAATTTTTTGTTTGAATCAGACTGATTTTTTACAAAGTCACTTGCACTGTTGTTGATGTCTGATCTATGGGCTTACATACGTTTATTAAGCCTTCCTTTTGTTTCACCAACATATACCAATCTGCAAAGGTTACACTCAAATCCGTAGTCGGATTAGTTGATTTACAATTCAGATCATCGTAGCTTCTGGTAAAGTAAGGGATCTTTAGTTAAATTGCTAGTGAATTGAGCATCTGTTATTAAAATTTTACAGGTTTTGCAGTTTTTGGTTTTACATTTCGAAATGAGACCGTGTTGTTCAGAGTCTTTAAAATCCAAAATGTCTTGTAGAAGAACTGAACACGACCGCGTACGAAGATTATTGCTGTTGTCATTAGTATGATGATCTTAATGTGTCATATTTGAGAATTTATGATGTCTGGTGATGAGGGGACTGGAAGTTTTTGAAAGGGTACTTATAAACGTGCAAAGAGGTTCTTTCTCTCACCGTCCACAAGACAAAAGATATGACGCTTACTTACAATCGAACATTGCTGCATATTTACATTGTTTTTCTTTTCTTTTATATCATAAGAATATATCTCGTGGTTGTTCTATCCTTTTTAAAGAATATTTCGTATTTTGACATTAGTTAGTCGATACATCACTTTTGAAAAAAGTTGGTATATGGACATGTTTATACTAATAGGGTGTTTGTTCGTCCTTCTGTTCCATTTTTGATTCGCTTCGGCTTCTTATCAGCGTTACAAAATTATTTTGCAACTCCTGTTTCATTTCTTCATTCGAATGATTTTTGGAGTTTACTTCGGGATGGCACTGACTTTGATTGATGTTCTTTAACATATCTTATATAAACAGGATAATGTGCTATCTTACATTGTAAATCAAATATAACCACATGTTTATTGCCATATAAACTTCATACGATAAGATTGCAACAAATACATTAACAAAATAAGTATACAATATAAATGAAATAGCAAATTTCGGGGAAAATGAATTAAGATTTTAAACAGTATGAATTTCAGTAGAACATAATTATATTTTCACCTTATCTTTTACTTCAAGATGATTCCAAGCACCTACTTTACTCCTAAACCATTTTTTTTTTAATTTAAAACTATGAAACATTGACCATTTCTTGTAAAGCAAATAATTAAAAGCGGGATCTTTACAAGTGCAAAACGGGTAAAATGTACGTCTTACTCGTGACGTTGTTGTTTGTGAATTAATTTGCAATTAGTTGATATAAAATTATCCCTTTTTACGTCAGCAGTATCAAAAATATAAAGGGAAACATTACAAAGGCAAAATATGCAAATTTACCGTGATGATATTATGTCGTGCACACGTTTAGCCTCTTGAGGATATTGTTTTCTATTATCTAGTCAAAACCGTCTGAGCCTAAATATGGGAAACGTGACACTTCATAGTATATATTTATTTTTGTATTGTAGACTGATTCTATTTTTCGAATATCGAAATAACAAGTGTTTGTAAATAACTATGAGGAATATTCAGTTACCTTGTGAAATAGTGAGGTGGGACCAAACCTCAGATCTAATCAAAATCAGACAGGTTGAAAACTTTCTATTGAGACATCTGTTATAGTTGTCACTCAGTTCAGGGGCGGATCCAGCCATTTTTAAAATGGGTTCCAACCCAGAATAAAGGGAAGGGTTCCAACCATATGTCCCCATTCAAAATAAAATTGAGAATGGAAATGGGGAATGTGGCAAAGAGACAACAACCCGACCAAAGAGCAGAGGCCACCAATGGGTCTTCCATACAGCGAGAAAATCCCGCAACGGAGGCGGGCTTCAGCTGGCCCCTAAACAAAAGTGTGTACTGGTTCAATGAAAATGGACGTCACACTAAACACCAAAACATATAAATGAACTGAAATTAAAAAAATATACAAGACTAACAAAGGCCAGACTTAGAACAGGCGCAAACATGATCAAACATGCTTGCGGGGTTAAACATGTTTTGTGTCTGAGATCTCAACCCACCCCTATACCTCTAGCCAATGTAGAATAAGCAAACACACAACAATACGCACAGTAAAACTCAGTTTAAAAGAAGTCCGAGTCCAATGTCAGAATAGGTAACAAAATAAACCAAGACCTCAATTAAACTGATTGAAAGATTATGTCTTCATCATATGAAAATCAAGCATTGATCGTCAAAAAAGGGGGGTTCTAACCCCTGGACTCCCCCCCCCCCCCCCCCGGATCCGCAAAATCGTGGAGCACTATCCCCAGATTATCGTCGAAGACTTTTACAAATAAAAATTCCTGCCCCATTCTAAAAGAAAAATGTATATGTAAAACTTTGGTTACTTTTATAAGTTATGCATTATATTACAAAAGTTCTGCATGTCACACAAATAAAAAAAAAGGTTAAAATTACTTAGATGATAATATTTCAAACAAATCGGCAGCTTTTGTAACTGATAACTGCTTGAATTTTTGATATTGAAAATATGACCAAAGAGAAATAACTCTGTGTTTGCAAATATCCGGAAACAAGTCCGACTTTAACTAAATTATAAGCTTTTATGTATTTCCGCCACAAACTTATGTGAGCTGAACATTGAACGTGACTGTGAAGGTTGAATTCTTGAACATGGGACAGAATACCTCGACTATTACACAGACTTACAAACCCGAACCTGGCACTCTTTCTAGATCCAAAGTTCCTTATCCACCATTCGAACTTGGAAAACCTCGTTTTGATCAGGTTTGCTCTTATGTAAAAATATAGGGGATACGGTATTGACTGATGGACATAATTTTAGTCCTAGATAAAACTTAGTGTAATAAAAGGTGTGATAGGTACTGGCACTACATATCAATCAAATCAAAATCGATCAAATATTTTATTATTCCAATCATTGTCCCACAGGGGGCATTTACAATTAACAATTATATTTAGATATAACAATATAAGCAACAAACATGAGACATTGTACAGCATATAATGTGACTGATATTATAATAGACATATGAAAATAACATTAATAATAAAAATACATTATAAGTACTCTTGAATATTTGTTTTCCCTTTATTATTTCTATGTCCAGCAGTGCACCTCTTGTTTACATCAGCACACTTATCATTCAAGACCTGTAAGGGTTAAGATACATAAGTTTATTCATCTGACACCAAGGGATGATGCTTATGGATATACTGTTGTAATAGCTGCAACAGCAATCATTATCTGTAAAGATTGATATTTGTTAATCTCCAAGGGATGGTGCTCCAGGATACACTGTTGATTGCTATAGGCAGTAACAGTAATCCTAGTGTCAGAAGCAGATGAACAAAATAAATAGAGAAATTCAATCTGGTCAATTTACAAATAAATTAATAGATAAGGGAACAACCTTTTAACTTCAAAGGGGGCCGTTATGGTTTTTTCCTGAAAATATATTCTGATCCCCAATTTGATTAAAAACAATATTGTGGTCAAGCAGATGACAAAAAAAATATTCTGAATCTAGTTTTTTCCCATACCTCATGTACCTTATAGTGTTAAATTTTGAAAAAAAGCATTGCGCGAAAAAAAATTTCTGACTCAGACAAAAAACCATAACCCCCTTGAAGTTAAATGGTTGCTCCCTAACAGCACTTGTTAATTATATGAAATATGTCATATAAATCTGCTATTTGCAGTGTTTATTCAGGAATATACACAACTCTTTTAACAAAGTAGCTTTCTCACAAGACAGCAGCCATAGTAATTTCTCTTGGGAATTTAAGATAATGAAATTAGGACATGATTCCGAAATAATGTGATATAAGTGCTGTCTGTCTTCGTTATATTTTGTACAATTAAAGAGAAAATGAACTTCATCTTCAATATTGCCCAAGTTACACTGCTGTAAATAAAGGAAATGAGTCTAAATTTTCTAATCTAAGCCATTAATTCAAAATAGATTTGACAAAGTCAAAGTACAGTGGAAACTGACCAAGTTCAGATAAGGTTGCAAAATTTGTGTTTTTTTTGTGCACACCAAGGATAAATTTACAAAATTAACTGTGTAGCTTTTCACAAGATAAATGCAAATAAATTTTATCTAATGTTATCTGGCATGTCTGGTTTCCAGTTCTAAATTTTGCTACAAAGTGATTAAATCAGCTCCAAATTTCACTTCCATAAAGGAGAAAAGGCTTAATAGTATGTTCAAAAACATGTATACCGGTACTTGTTTTTAAGCTAGGATTTAAAGATAATAAATCTTTTTATACGACCGCAGAAAATTTGCGTTCATATATCATGTATATTGCTATCATGTTGTCGTTGTTGTCCGAAGACATTTGGTTTCTGGACAATAACTTTAGTATAAGTAAACGGATCTCTATGAAATTTAAGCACATAGTTCAATAGCACAAAAGGAAGGTTGGGATTGATTTTGGGGGTTATGGTCCCAACTGTTTAGGAATTAGGGGTAAAAAAGGGGCCAAAAAAGGCAATTTTCTAGTTTCCGGACAATAACTTGTGTACAATTGTATGGATCTCTATGAAATTGTACCACAAGGTTCCATACCACAAAGGGAAGGTCAGGATCGACTTTGGGGGTTATGGCCCAAACCGTTCAGGAATTATGGGCAAAAAAAGGGGGAAAACAAGGTTTTTCTGGTTAATGGACAATTACTTATAAAGTATTAGTCTATGGATCTCTATGAAATTGAAACACAAGGTTCCATACCACAAAGGGAAGGTTGGGTTTGACTTTGGGGTTTATGGCTCAAACAGTTCAGGAATAAGGGGCAAAAAGGAGGGGGGGAAAGGAACAAGGTTTTTCTGGTTTCCGGACAAGTATTAGTCAATGGATCTCTATGAAATTGTACCACAAGGTTCCATACCACAAACAGAAGGTTGGGGTCGATTTTGTGGGTTGCGGCTTTAATCGTCAAGAAACTAGAGGCCAAATAGGGGCCAAAAACAAGACTTTTCTAATATTAGCTAAGCTGGTTCTAACATAAATTATTTCTGATCTAGATAAAGAAACAACAAATACTGATATGGCAGGAGATACACACAAAACAGGGTGTGTAAATTATTATATTTAGTTTGTAAACAGATTTACTATGTATTGCGCAACAGCAAAGTATTGCACAACAGCAAGAAATCTTCAATTTAAAATAAAATCAATTTCAATGAGGATTAATTTAAAGTCTTGAATTGTTTGAGGTTTTTACAATGTATTACTATATTGGTCTGTTGGATATTTGGACATTTTTAAATATGTCTACCTTGAGGTCCAAAGGGTCCAGAATTAGACTTTGTTTGATTTCATCAAAAACTGAATTCTTGTGGTTCTATGATGCTGAATCTAACTGTGCATTCAGATTTTTATACTACTGCAAAAAATTTTTGCGGTCTTATATTGGTATGACATTGGCGTCGTCGTCGTTCGAAGACACATTGGTTTTCTCACAATAACTTTAGTTTAAGTGAATGGATCTGTATGAAATTTTACCATAAGGTTCAATACCACAAAAGGAAGGTTGGGATTGATTTTGGGGGTTACGGTACCAACTGTTAAGGAATTAAGGGCCAAAAAGCGGCCAAAAATAAGCATTTTTGTAACTTCCAGACAATAACTTGTGTGTAAGTGTATGGATCTCTCTGACATTGTACCATAAGGTACCATACCACAAAGGGAAGGCTGGGATTGATTTTGGGGGTAATTGCTTCAAAATTTTAGGAATTAGGGGCCAAAAAGGGGCAAAAAACAAGCATTTTTCTAGTTTCAGGACAATAACTTGTGTGTAAGTGTATGGATCTAAATTATATTGTACTACAAGGTTCCATATCACAAAGGGAAAACTGGGTTTGAGTTTGGGGGTAATTTCCCTAAACGTTTAGGAATTTGGGGCCAAAACACAAGCATTTTTCTAGTTTGCAGACAATAACTTGTGTTCAAGTGTATGGATCTCTCTGAAATTGTACTGCAAGGTACCATACCACAAGGGGAAGGCTGGGATTGAGTTTGGGGGTGATGAATCATAAGGGGGTTCAAAAAATTTGGGAGGGGGGGATTTTTTTTTCCTTGTTTTCCTTTTTTTTTTTTTAAATTTTCCATTTTAAGTTGGTTATTTCTGATTTATATATAAAAGCAAATAATAATTTTATGGTTTGATTTCGTCAAAAATTGAAATATTGGGGTTCTATAATATGCTGAATCTTACCGTGTATTCAGATTCTTATTTTTTGGTCCCGTTTTCAAATTGGTCTACATTAAGGTCCAAAGGGTCCAAAATTTAACTTATTTTGATTTTAACAAAAATTGAATTCTTGGGGTACTTTGATATGCTGAATATAAACATGTATTTAGATTTTTGATTATGGGTCCAGTTTTCAAGTTGGTCCAAATCGGGGTCCAAAATTACACTTTGTATGATTTCAACAAAAATTGAATATATGGGGTTCTTTGATATGCTGAATCTAACCGTGTATTTAGCTTTATGGATTTTGGGCCTCATTTTTAAATTTATCCACATTGAGGTCCAAAGGGTCCAATTTGAATATCTCACCTACACTGCTTTTAAATTATGTATATTAGATATTTGTCAAAAACTTTATTGTAAATAAATTCCATTGGAAATTTGCCCATAACTTTTGTATAATAAACTTCAATGGAAATTTGCCAATATAAAATGTTGCTGATGAAGGTATTTTGTTTATTTTTAGCCATGACCTTGATGTCATTTTCTATTTTAATAGCCGTATGATGTATTTAAATTTTTTAATACTTTTATGATGTATTTAAATGGGCTTTTACGGTTGTAAATTTATTGGGGTTGTAATTCAAACTCATTTGAATATCTCAGCTACACTGGTTTTAAATTAAGTATATTGGAAATTTGCCAATAACTTTAGTATTAATAAATTCCATTGGAAATTTGCCAATAACTTAAGTATAATAATTTCCATTCGAAATTTGTCAATATGAAATGTTGCTGATGAAGGTTTTTTGTTTATTTTTAGCCCTGGAGGCTTTTTAATTTTAGGCATGATTATGATGTCATTTTCTATTTTAAAAATTATTTAATTTTAGCCATGATTATGTATGTGAAGGAATTTTATTTTTAGATATTACTATTTAATGTTGCTGATGAAAGTGTTTTAATATTAGGCATAATTATGATGTCATTTTCTATTTTAATACTTTTATGATGTATTTAAATGGGTTGTTATGGTTGCTAAGTCCTAGCTGTCAATTTATTTTTAGACATGTTAGAAGTTACTTTTAAATGCTGCTGAAGGAATTTTATTTTTAGATATTACTATTAAAAGTTGCTGATGAAGGTTTTTTAATTTTAGCCATGATTATGATGTCATTTTCTATTTAATACTTTTATGATGTATTTAAATGGGTTTTTATGGTTGCAAAGTCCTAGCTGTCAATTTATTTTTAGAAGTTGCTATTAAATGCTGATGAAGGAATTTTATTTTTAGATATTACTATAAACAAGCATTTTTCTAGTTTCAGGAAAATAACTTGTGTATAAGTATTTTGATTGCTCTGAAATTTTATCACAAGGTTCAGTACCACAAGTAAAAGGGTGGGATTCATTTTGGGGGTAATTGCCCAAACCGTTCAGGAATTAGGGGCCAAAAAGGGTCTAAAACAAGCATTTTTCTAGTTTTCAGACCATAACTTGTGTTTAAGTGTATGGATGTCTCTTAATTTGTACCACATTTTACAAAAAGAAAATTTCTTCAAAATTAATTTTTTTGGAAAGGGTAGGGGGGTCAATTTTATTTTCCTCAAAAGGAAATTCTTTTCAAATATTTTTTTTTTGGAGGGGGGGGGGTAAAAAAAATTTTGGGAGGGTTCAATTTTTATTCCCTCAAGATTTAAGACATTGTCAATTTTCCAAAGAAAAAAAATGGGGGTCACAATTTATTATGCTAATTCTTTGTATATAGTCTGAAAACAGATTTACTAAGTATTGCGCAACAGCACAGTGTATTGCACAACAGCAAGAAATCTTCAATTGAATATAAATTCAAATCATACAACCAATTTCAAGTTCTTTGACTACATTTATTCTGTGTCAGAAACCTATAATGTGTCAAATATTTAATTACAATCCAAATTCAGCCCTGTATCAAGCTTGAATATTGTGTCCATTTTTGCCCCAACTGTTCAGGGTTGGACCTCTGCAGTCGTATCCAGCTGTGCTCGGCGAAGCAGTTTATGAAGGTAGATGTCACAGTTGTTATGTGGTATTTTATTTTTGTTGTGTGTGTTAATGTTTAATTTTTACATGGTCCTGTTTGGGGTTCAGATTTGCAAATATCATTATTAATTAGATAATAATCTATTATAAATATTCAATCACAATCCAAATTCAGAGCTGTTTTAAGCTTAAATGTTGTGTCCATACTTGCTCAGCTGTTCAGGGTTCGACCTCTGCAGGAAAATCCGGTTTGCTGTCACTCGACAGCCTCTTGTTGAATTTAAATTTTTAATTTAGAGCCCCGTTTTCGAATTTGTCCACATTAAGGTCCAAATGGTCCATAATCAAACTTTGTTTGATTTCAACAAAAATAGATTCTTGGGGTTCTTTGATTTGCTGAATCTAACCATGTATTTAGATTTTGGCTTTTTGGACCCCAGTATCAAATTGGTCTACATAGAGGTCCAAAGGGTCCAAAATTAAACTTTGTTTGATTTCATTGAAAATTGAATTCTAGGGGTTATTTGATATGCTGCATCTAACCATGTACTTAGATTTTGGATATTAGACCATTATAGGTAAATGTCAAATTTCAAATTTATAAGTTCTTAGACCACATTCATTCTGTGTGAGAAATCTATGAAGTGTCAAATATTTAATCACAATCAAAATTCAGAGCTGAATCAAGCTTGAATGTTGTATCAATACTTGCCCCAACTGTTCAGGATTCAACCTCTGCGGTCGTATCAATCTGTGCCCTACAGAGCATTTAATGATAATAATATTCCAGACAACTTTCTTCAGATGTCATCTTTGGACATAGGGTAACAAACCCCTAGGTTGGACATACCCTCAAAGTCCAACTTTTTAAAATATTTCTTCATGGCAAGATATTATGCAATATTGTGATATTGTATTTAATCTGAATATGCTGATTACCACTAATTATGCTTCAACATGATCAAGATAACATAGTTTTTTGTTTTTCATTTTCTGTTTGAACTTGATCTATTTTCAAGGTGGTTTTGGCTGTTATATATGATGCCCTTTAGTTTGACATTTAACATGTTTAATGTTCAACATACCACAGTCAGTCTACCAGTAATTGTCTGACTGATCATTGGCAGTTATCACTGTGGTCAAAACTTTAATTATTTTCTTCCATTGAAAAATGATAGTTGTTGAAGTTATTTCAAAGCATTAATTTGATATATGAGAAAATGTTTCAAGACAATCTTTATTTTCAAGTCTGATTGTGGACTCGGACTCAAGGACAAAACTTTCTGTTTTAAAGGCTAAATCAGACCAGTAAGCTGACTCAAGAACAAAAGCTTCTGTTTTAAAGGCTAAATCAGGCCAGTAGGGCCCTTTGTAGCTTAAAAGTTTTTAGTTATCGAAATATTTTTATATGGTAAATAAAGGCAACAGTAGTATACCACCGTTCGAAACTCATAAATCGATAGAGATAAAAACAAATCCGGGTTACAAACTAAAACTGAGGGAAACGCATCAAATTTAAGAGGAGAACAACGACACAACAAAAACACAACATTAAAAATGTAACACACACAGAAACGAACTATAATATAACAATGGCCATTTTCCTGACTTGGTACAGCACATTTTAAGAAAAAAATGGTGGGTTGAACCTGGTTTTGTGGCATGCCAAACCTCCCGCTTTAATGGCAACGTCAAACACAACACCAAAACGACAACATCACATGACAGGACCACAATACAAATAAATAGGAGAACATATAGGACAAAGAAACACATGAATAATAGCTAACAAAAGGTACTAGGCTTAAAATTCAATACGCCAGACGTGCGTCTCGTCCACACAAGACCATCCAGTGATGCTCAGATGAAAAAAGCTTGAAAGCCAAAACAAGTACAAAGCCGAAGAGCACCGAGGACCAAAACTTCCAAAAAGTTGCGCCTAACACGGCCAGGGTTTTCTGCCTGGGACAAGAACATCCTTATTATTTAGAATAATTTATAATTTTGCAAACAGTAAATTTTATAAAATGACTATATAATAGATATACATGATAAAACCGAAGTGGGGACTGACTACAGAATAAAAACGGATACATAACATTTAACAACTTAATCCAACATATAAAAATACACAGCCTAGTTAGCCAAAGCATCAACGCACAAAGTGACGTCACATTTGAAATTCTAAAAAAACACACAAAGTGACGTCACATTTGAATTTGTAAAAATATTTCCCAAAAATAAGATAGGATTAGGATTGATTCAAGATTAGATTTGTAATACTGACATTACATTTATTAATAACAATGAAAATTACAATACTTATTAATATCAAATTGTGGTAGTAATTAGATAATTAATTGTATTATCTAGCTATGTCGGTGTTTCTTCTGAATCAAACTGTAAACCAAATATATCATATAAATTTCGTTGAACCAAACTAAAATCTAATAAATGAAGGGGTGATTAATTATCTTTACCATAACACACGAATATAACAGAAAAGACGTTAAGACATTTGACAAAATCCGACGAGAATAACAAATATAACATAAAAATTAAATACATGTACATGAATTTGGGATAGAAAGGTACCGTGACACGTCTTATAGCAATGCAGTTTCACACTCAGCAAAACAGTCACAATCAGGAATAAGTCACGTTCGGTAATTAAAAGATCAGACGACGTAATGACAAACCACAATCTAACACGTGGTAAAAATGTCCTTAGTTAGTTTGGACAAAGACACATCGTATGGACTAACCAATTCGTGATGGTGTCCGTAAAATTTATGGAGTGTAATTTTTAATCTGTTCTCCTCATAACTTTGTTGGAGCAGTTTCTGTGTAAGGAGCACACTCCTGTATATGAAGTCCGTATAGTGTGAACAAGCACGAGAATAACGTATCAATTGAGATATGTAAACACCTTACGAAGAGGCAACACAGTCATACAATGTATTTTAATGAATTATGAGTTTTATTCATTGTTGAAGGCTGTACTTAGGTGAATGGTGAATTATTGTTCCTTTGGTTTTTATTGATGGCAGACTCTTAACTGACAATCATGGCATACATTGAGTATCTCCTTATTTTTAATATTTCTATAAGTTTCATATCAGACTTCAAGGATCAGTGTGTCAGACAGCTCAGTCTCTGTAGCAAATTAATGCTGATGAAGTATCTTTTTATATTTCAGAGTACATACTTAGGTCGCTTGAGTCATATCTTAGATATAACAGACCCAAAACTGTTGCTTACTCCAAAGGTAAGGCTTAAATAACATTTTTCTGCATAGCAAATTTGATTTCAAATCAATGATTATTAACATGAGTAAGGGCTTCATACAGGCACAGACTCTTCACAAAATAAAGTGTGATTTTTATTTTTTGTATACATCTTTCAAAGCTTAAGTAATGCAAGTTTATATTGTGCATAATCAATAGGAAATTGTATCAAAATATATTCTATATTGTACATAAAACAAAAACTACATGCTACTGTAAATTTCTTTATTTTTGCTTTTTTTTTATTATTGCAAAATTTGCAACAGGATCAGATTTACAAAATTAAAACGCCCATTATTTTGGTATCATTATTTATATACCACATTTCCATTAATCTTGCATTGTATCCATTTTTGAAAAAAACAATAATTTCTATATATATACAGAATTCTAGTGGTTATGATAAGTAAGATACATATACTCTTTTCAGGAGAAAGTGGAATGTGCTGTAGAATTCCTAGATGATTATAAAAATGGAACGGCCCCTAAATATTCAGATGAGCAGTTGTGGCAGTGGCAAAGAATTAAAAATGTAAGAGAGTATGGTCATTTTGTAACATGTGTCATATTTTAATCATTGTTTTCCGTACTGCATTGATGCTTAAATGTTGATATGTATGACCTTTAAGTCACTCATGTGGTAGGTGCATTCGACTCCAGTCGAGAATTAATAAGAATTGTCAGTTTTCCTACAGCAGGTCGGTGGTTCTCTCCAGACACGCTCTTCATCCACCAACAAAACTGGCTGCCACAAAATATCCAACAGTGCTGAAAGTGGCGGTAAACACCAAAAAATCAATGTATGACCTTTGTACAATTAAAAGCCTCATTATTAATCAGTGAATGAATCCCATCCTCAAAGCATGATATACTCGTGTGTTGGAAGTAGTGGGTCTCTCCCTAGCTACCATGTTGAATTATGCATGAAACATTCACTGCTGGATATTTAAAAACATTGCTCCATAAATCAAAGAGAAACATTTTTGAAAAAGGGCTTTTTAATGTGCTTTGTGTTTGACTTAAATCTGTGGACTAATGTTGTAGAAATGTTGAAAGATATGCCCTAGTCTTAACTTGATCTTTAAGTGTGATCAGAAATAAAATGCATTCATAATTGTTGATTTAAATAGCAAGAATTAACTCTACTAAAATAAAGCATTTTACAGTATTTACTTTTTTTCTTAAATGACAATAGGATATAGGTACTCTTCTATTGGGGAGGATAAGAGATATTGGATGCCTTATTTAAGCTGTTATACATACATGCACATGTAAATTTATTTATCACATTTTTGTTAGGAATATGTTGGGTTTTGCATATGTAATAACCTCAAAATTGCCCGGGGCAAAAAAGAGGTTATTGTTTATTGTGCCCTGCTTCCAAATGACGTGACGTCATTGGGTCCTCAATGACAATGGCGAACTAGTAACAATGCACAACCAACTTTTATCGATTTATCCCCATGCAGTTATGCCAAATTCTCGTGTTTGTTTATTACCATATTCCAAAATAAGTGGAAATATTACAATAAATTTTATTGAGTAAATGATAAAAATTAAATTCAAAAATTTGATAAAACTTTTGTGATAATTTTTTTAGATTTAACCTGTTATGTTTCATTAAATTGTTATAATTGATTTTTTTTTCTCTTTAATGCAGAGCTTAAATATGTGATAAATAGATTATAACTTGTCTTTTCCATATTGGCCCTGGTATCATCCCTCGACCCATATCGGCCCTCGGCTAAAGCCTTGGGCCGATACGGTAGTCTCAGGATGATACCAGGGCCAATATGGAAAAGCCCATGTTATAATCTATACATACGTCAAATATATTTCTTAAAAAATGATATTTGATGTGATAAATAATATAGATATTGGATAGACCTCAAAGGTTCAAAATATGTCTACCAGTAATGAATATACAACTGGTAAGCCTCTAAACAGGGTCTTAGAATGTTGAAAGAAAATTCCACTGTGAGTTATTTCCAATGAAGAATATCACTGGTTCTTGCTGTCACATGATGGTATTCTTTTTAAGTTGGAAATTTGGTGTTGGTGTAAGGTATTTGGTTGTTTTTGCTGAATTTCATCTCTACATACATGAATGTAGACTTGGGATGATTAAGAGATTGGGATGGATGCTTGCATTTGTTCATTGTTGAAGGCACTATGCTGAACTATAAATGTCTATACAATGTATTGAGTAATTGGTGTTGTTGTCATGCTTTCTCATTGGTTTATAACTTCATACTTCCTTTTATCCATTTATGATCATTTTCAGTAATATAAAACAATAATTGTTATCTGTTTCAGTCATTCTTTCATCCAGACACAGGAGAAAAAATATATGCACCATTTAGAATGGCAGGTAAATTAAAGTTTTAAACATTTAGATTTTTACAGTAATAATGGCAATATCTATGCCAAAAAACTATGCATAAATAGAATTTTGTAATTGGCATTTTTTGTATTTGTATTTTTATATTCATGTTTATTTAAACATTTTTGTGAAAAAGAACTCATCAGTTTTATAACCTTGCAAAGGGGAGGTTTGTCTTCCTAAATGCATAATGATTAAATTGTGAAAAAAGGGAGATGAGGGAAGACTTCAATGAGACAGCATTCAAACAACACAACCTAATCAAAAGCCATCTAGAGGTCATCAGTCATCATCCACAATGGGCAAACACAAAAAAAGGATAAGAAATCAGTGACAAAATTGTATGGTTTCAGTATGTTATTACTGAAGTTCAAAGTTCAGTTATCTTAGTTTTACCTGGTCTGAATGGGGTATAACAAATACACATATCCACCCTTAAAATAAAAATGAGGAAATGTGGTATAATTGCTGAGAGACAACTAACTACCAGAGTCCAAATGATGTGGATGTAAGAAACTATAGGTCACCATAAGGACTCTGAATATTAAAAAAATCTAAACAAATAACTTCAGTTATACTGTTACAAAATCTGAGGGACGTTATTTGATAGATTTACATACTGGGATTTTTCAATTCAATGGATGTAAAAAAAAAGGGTTTTACTTGCACAGTATTAAATATTATATATATGAATCTTAATTAATTTTAAAATATGTCATTTATCTATTATGTTATTTTGAAATCTGTCTTATTTTTTGTGTTTCAGGTTTTGTTCCTTTTGGATCACCAATTGTAAGTATTAATCCTAACATTTGAACGAAACATTTAGTTTAAACATGGATCTGATGTGTGTAAGGATAACAATATTAAATATGAAGATGTACAGACTAACTTCTCTAAGACACAATGTTTCCTAGATATGTCTTCATTTTATTGGTGCTGATAGTTATTGCTTGCATGATGAAATATAACAAAATAAAAATTTCAAAGCAGAATACCAAAATGAAGAACAAGTCAAGTTTCAAACACCAAATTTAATGAGTAAACACATTAAAAGGCAAAACAATAAAAATTTAAAGACAAAAAATAGCAGCCGAATATTTCAACTTAAAAATTCCTTTTTCAAGGGTTATGAAAATATAAACATCCAGATTTCATGAGAGCAGTGCATTGTTTGGCTAAGGTGTGTTCCTCAATATGCAAGTCTGTTTAAATATGTTTACAAAAAAACATTTATACATGTTGGGAACCATTTTTGATATTTGCTGAATACTGTTGATGTTAAATAAATGTATAACATATTAAAAAGTCAATACTGTTATATTTGGATCCTATCTCTGACCATAAATTATTACTTCAACCTAATAAAAAAAACTAGCCTCCCCTAACCCTAAAGGAACTCTAGTCAATAAGTACAGGGTTCCTTTAGGTAAATGAAGGCCAAACTATGACCTTCTTTGTGATGTCTTTCCTCCTTTTGCAATAAAGCAAATATCAATATATGGTTTACATATCCCTTTAGAAATTAGTGTGATATTTAGTTTTAATTTAACCATTACAACAGTGACAGCAGATTTGTAAACTCATCATAGAAAAGAAAATTGATGGAAGAATTTAAAAATAGTCAAGTAGACAAAGTGTATATTATAAGTCAGCTATTTATTTAAAACTGTTTGTTTTTGAAACCCAAACTATAGTGTAAATCTTTCATGTTTTAGTTCAGATAATAGGTTAATTATGGCATAATCCATGACTTGCATGTGTTTTGAAACAGAGACCATGGTTGAAATCTTTCATGTTTTAATTACAGATAATAGGTCTGCTATGGCCAAATCCAAGTTTTGCAGCCACCATATTTTGGCAGTGGTTAAATCAGACACATAATGCTTGTTTTAATTATTCCCACAGAAATGCTTCAAAGGTAAAGTATGATGGTGTCAATATTCTCAAACTTCACACATATGTCCCTTTATTATAGATGTATAATTTGCCTCATATCCTCAAGACTGCATAGTTTTGGGATCTGGCCTTACAGTCTTTAAAATTTCAAGTACAATTATTGTACTCAGACTCAGAAATCAACCAATCAAAATACTGGATTTGATCTTTTGTGCGCAAATTTTGTCCTCAAGTAGTGTTTGATGACTATAGGCCCTGGTGTACATGAACATTAAAACAAATGTATTCCATAAGGATGTTCGCTCCTCTGTTTCCAAACAACAAGCTTTTTAAAAGACTGTAATAAATAGGTAGTACATAAATAAAGAAACTTAAAAAGCAGAAAAAAATGATAGGTCTGTGTTCTTGTTTTTGAGATATAATCAATTAAAAATTTGGCGGGAAATGATTCTCTCTAGATTTTTCATATAGTTATCATTGGCAACATTTTCCTTTGAAAAACTAAGAAAAAATAACAAGGATTTAATATAATTTTCAAAAGTGGCTTTTAAAATTATATGGAATAAAATTATGAAATGAAAAGTAGGGGTTACCGGGCAAAATTTTTATTGGCACTACATGGATAAAACTAGAGGATTCCGAATATCTGATAAAAAGACAAAAACAAGAGTAGCGAACATCCTTAAGATAAATCTTCTTGCTTGGATAGAGAGTAACAGTTATCAATATTAAAAAGGCTGAGAGTAGCACTTGCCAAAATTACAAAGGACAAGGATGTAATCAACTACGGGTAAATGTGCAGGCCTTTAACAATGAAGTCAAATCTATAGCATACATAGTTAGCTATAAAAGGTCCTGGGATAAAAAATGTGAAATAATTTTACAAAGAAAATAAACAGCCTGATTTAAGATAACATTAAACAAACAAACAATTATGACAGTCAAAACCAGTCACCACAGTTAAGTTTCTTTTTATACAATCTTAGGTATTGTACAGCTCTTGCAAAGATACTTAAAATATAATTTGCTTGATAATAATCCTTTTTTGCCACCATTTTACCATCAACTTCATAATTTTTCTTCTGACACCACCATCAACAATAATTTTTTTTTAAACAAAACATACAGTCATTTCATTTTGGACTCTGGTGGATAGTTGTTTCATTGGCAATCATACGACACCTCCTTATTTTATCTTTCTACATTATAGCACACACCTTTTAACAAATATTTAGAGGGATATGCTGGAGCTGTAACCAGTGCAGTTACTATTGCTGTAAGTAAAATACATATTTTATGGTTTGTTTGTTTATTTATTGGAGAATGTTTCATTCTAATATTGTTTACTTTCCTTACTATTTTATTGCTTTTAACAGGCAGTGCATTATAAATGTTGCCAAGCAACCCCTATAATCTCAATATATTTAAAAAGCACTCATCTTGAACAATTTCTGACCAAATATTTTCAAATTCTTGCTATTTCTGCTATATTTTTCATTAATTAGTCATTCTTTGTTGTGACATCCGTTCTTTTTTTCAATCAAAATTTTTGCTGGACTAAAATATTAATAAAACAATGCTATATCTTTTACAGAGAAAGGACATTTGCTTATCCTATCAAATAATATACATGTTGCACTGCTCCTGGTCTATAAGTTCTTAATAAATGCATATATATTAAAGATATTAAAAACACAATTCTCACTCAAATTAGCCTTTTTATGTGTCAATAAACTGTTGCAGTATACAATGTGTTCATCTGTAATCCAATCTAATCATGATAACTTTTAAGAAAAATAATCTTATGTTATCAATTACATGTGAGTTTAGGTGTAATTGAAATGTAATTGATTACATTAATTTAGCATTAATTTAATCAATTACTTTTTAGCTCACCTGACCAAAGGCCAAAGGATCTTTTCTCATCACTTGGCTTCCGTCGTCCGTAACTTTTACAAAAATCTTCCCCTCTGAAACCACTGGGCCAAATTTAACCAAACTTAAATCTTTAAAAGATGTTTTTACCATTTTTTTGAAGTTTTTGCCTATTAAAATGAAAAGTATAATAGGCATAAATATAGAATGAAACTTTAAAAAGCAAAAATGATCAGCAGGACAAGATCTACAAATATGTCAACATGACTGAAATTGTCAGTTAACTCTTTATAGAGTTATTGCCCTTTCATCATGATTTTTACCAAAAAATGGCTATTGTTGAGGATGCTAGGGAGCGACACAGACTTTAAAAAAATCAGACAAGCTGTTTTTTGGTTACGTAACCCCTCAAATGATGAATTTTGTCTCGCCTCAATGAATTAAAAAAAATGAGACTTAGGCATGTTGTTTCCGGCATCATCTTCAACAATGTATTAGTTTGTGATTAGGTTAGTTTACAGGGAACCACTAGTGCTAGGTCATTTAGGTTTAGAGGCAACCATACTGCCCTCAACATTACAATTAGTTAACATGTATTAGTTTGTGATTAAGTCAGTTTATGGGGTTGGTCAATGATACTTGTATGCAGTTGTATTAGTATTGGCACATTTCATTTTCATTGAGATAATTTGGCCCTACCCTTCATTCATGGTCTGTTTACTTTGAAACTTTTTCTCAGTTTACATGTTAAAGTTTGTGATGAGGTCAATTTAAGAGGTATCACTAGTGGTAGGCCAATGCTATTTGGTATGCAGTTGTTATATAGCATTGGCACATTTCATTTCCATGAATATAATGGCCCTGGCCCTCCTCATTGTTCATTGACTTTGAAAATTTTGTAGTGTTTATATGTAAAAGTTTGTTTTTTAGGTCAGTTTCAATGATATTATGTATACAGTTTTGCAAGTTTTGGCAGTTCTCATATCCACAGACGTTATTTGAATCTTGGCCCTGTACCTTTAGTCATGGTTCAATGACTTTTAATATTTTGCATAGTTTACATTTATTGGAATTTTAATTTCAACATTTGCTTTATGCTATGAAAATTGCATCAAGGGGAGACATATCTCTGTGTATTTTTTATCAGTTTTTTGCAGAAATGATCAAGGCTCTAAAAAGCATACTTTCACTTTTTGTCCAGTCAGCAATACAGGGTCACATGATCCTCTTGTTTACATTTCATAGCTTATGAATATCAATTTTGTATTTGCATACAATGTAATTTTTATGTTAATCTGGTAAATTTATCATTTTCACCCTTTTTGCTTTTTAGGTTGGTCTTCAGGCACTAGTAAAGAGAGCTAACATGTTTAGTCCAACAACCAAAATGTTAATACAGAGATTTATACCATTCCCAGCAGTGGGTAGGTGATAGGAGTCAATATTACAACATCAGTTATTTCAGTCTTAAATCCACTATTTTATGCTTTTTGCATCATTTTGTTTTAAGAGAAGTTTCAAGAATGCTTTAATCATTATAAGCAGTTGTTTCTGCAAGTTAAAACTGAGTCTTAAAAGCAGACATTTTATATAGCTTTATAGGGTCAATATGTTGAAATAAAACATTTTCTATGATTTTTCTACGAGATATCTACGGCATTAAGGAGTAAGAGCAAAGACTGGTTGGCTTGGAGTCAGAATTATGTGTCTGAGTGACATGCCTTTCTTGGGACTGTAACCTTGTAAACTACTATGTTAAAATTCTGGCTCAGCATGTCGGTCTGGTACAAAGCATGGTAAATATTCATTTTGCGTTGATATGTTCTCGTCCTGAATATGCATTATAATTTGCCACTGGAAGTTAAACAGCCATCCATCATCATCATCATCTAGATATCTATGAATCCATATTTTCTCCAAAGAGTTGTCTCCCATTTTTGCAAGAGTTGTTCTTGAGTATGTTTCCAATGTACTATAAAAAGATTTTAGTTTTGGTAAACATTCAAAAAATGTGGCAGAAGGTTATCAAACATTCACTTCAATTTTGATTTTCTTTGATGTTTAAAAAAGTTGTTACAAAAAGCAAAAAGAAAAAAAAAACTGAAGGAAGGAAAGAAAGCACTACATTTTATAGATAGAAGAAATCAATAGAAAATTGACAACTTATGTTGTATTTTAGTATATTTTTGCTTAGAATTGGTGGTATATTTGGTGATATGAATCGGGTAGGAATATATGAACAGTTTTGTTCAACTCAACCAGATTGCACAAATGAAAGTATTTTTGTGTCATCATAAAGAACAATAAGTTATTTATAAAAGATATAGATGTGCAATAAAATATAAACGTTTATTTAGGCAGAAAATTATGTTTTTAAATAATCAGTATTTTAAAAGTGTTGAATTGACATGATAAATTCAATGAATGCCTCAATTAGATAACATAAAATTATACTTTAGGACTTTTTTGAAATTGATATAGAGGTATGTAAATAATACAGTTTTCAATTAAAATAGTTCACAGAATCTTAAAATAATCCATGCTATGGGATTTTTTATTGTCTCGCCTGTGAAGAATGTTGTAGTATGAAAGACAAAGGGACTAACTGGCAGCAGTGGCGATGTACACTATTTGTTTTAAGCTTTATATTTCAGAAGATAGAAGACCTGGATGCTTCAAACCTTGTATGCAGATACCTTATGTTATGAAGTTTCTGTCTGTCATATGTCCATTGTCCATGACAAGCTTATTTGCATAAAATGCAATTTACTAAACTCAAAGAAAGTTACATAAACTGTTACCAAATCTTTTAGTTTTTCGACAGCAAAAAAAGTAATTTTTTAAATAAAAAAAAGGAAATTCCTAAAAATCCACTCTGCAGATTTTTTTTTACACACATATAAATGTTAGCATTCTTTGCTTTAAAAAAATATTGATACAAAACAGTAACCATTGATATATTTTCAAAAATTAATTTCTACATAAGTCAAGTAGTTTATACCTTCCAAGAGGGATGTCATACATCAAGGAAATATATAAAATAATGAATGAATTGGTGCCAAGAAAGTTGCCTGTTTTTTTTTTTTTTTTAATTTTTAGGCAAGAGTCATATTATTCATCAAACAATGCAGAAAAAAAACTGATACACAACTAATTGAATTAACATTTTAAAAAGACATATATTTCAGCTATTTGTGCATTACACTTATGCCAAAAATTCTTTTACAGCATCAGCAAACATATGTAATGTAGTATTAATGAGAAAAAATGAATTAGAAGATGGAATTGAAGTTTTAGATGACCAGAATAATATCGTTGGTACTTCAAAAATTGCTGCTAAAAGGGTATGTAGTACTGTTATATTACAATATTATTCATGTTATTTTTTAGGCTGGATATGTTAATGATTCAGGCTTTAAAAGGAGCAGTTAAATCTTTGCTGTGTTACCATTTGTGCAATGAATTAAAAGGGAGAGTAAAATGTTTGCATAGGGAAAATTTCACAGAAAAAACCTATCATGAACATAGTAACAACTAAAAAGACATGCACAAACATTCCTGATAAACTGGTACTGCAGAAGTATTTATTTCAATTACATCATGAGTTGTGTTATTGTGATGTTCGTGCCAAGAAAAATTTTGGGATAATTATTTGATGTCTCACAATAAATTTTATTATACACCCATTTTTAAAGTGAGCTGTATAATTTGATGGCATTGTCTGTCATTTCATCCAGGGATATCATTTTTTGAGCTTTTCTTGCTGTATCTCATGTTCATGTAATTAATCTTTAACTCATCTAGGTATATATATATTTTATTTTCAGGCTTTAACAGAAACCGCAATAACCAGAGTAGTTTTGCCAATCCCAATTCTTATTTTTCCTCCAATAATTATGTCAGTTTTAGAAAGGTAAGAGTATTTTTACTATTATATAAGCATGATTCTTATTTTCTCTCACCATGCATCAAATATCCCTGAATGCAAGACGTACATGTAGGGGTGCAAACCAGTATTGGCATCATCACTATCAAGCATAAACTTGTTGTATTACGCTTTTTATTTTTGAAGGTAGGAGTTTTGGGTAAACCTTAATCTATTGTTGTTGATTTCAAATTCATGGTTCAATGTCAACATAAAGAACTGTATAGGTTTTATATTACTTGTATTTTTCAGTAAATATGAGTACTAAGTCAGCTATATTTAGTTTATAGAATCATTGCAAGGTATTCACGTCTGTCTTACAGGATTTATCTGACTTTTATCTCATTATCATGATCATCCTTTTATTCATTTGTTAGGTTGCCATCTTTGATTTAATAATTTCGTAACTTGCATGAAACTTCCTCAAAATACCTCAAAATAGATGCATGATATTATTGAATAATGTTAAATTTTGATGGCCATTGAATTAAGCTGTGGTCTTCTGACTATTTTAGACTACAAAAATTCCTTGTGTCAAGTGAATTTTTATGCTCCCTCTGTGGTGGAGGGGCCATTAAGTTTTACCCACCGTCCTTCCGTCCATCCAATTTTCGTTTCCGCTTTAATAACTTAAGTTTCCTCATCCAAAATGTATGCACCTTATACACAATGCTAAGACCAAAACTCGCAGACAGAGTTCGAATTTTGTCAGTGAGTCACTTACTATTCTAGAGTTATGCTCCTTTATAACATGGAAAATAGCAAAAAAATTTCGTTTCCACACTCTTAAGTTTTACTCATGCAAATTTTAAGAAACTCATACACAATGCTAAGAACCACAACATGCAGACAGATGACTAATTTTGACAGTGAGTCATTTACCATTCTAGAGTTATGCCCCTTTTTAACTTGGAAAATTGCGAAGCTTCAGGTTGCATTTCTGTAAATAACGACAATGCAACTTCCCATAGGAACTCATTATATGGCTAAAACTGTACCACTTTTACTATAAAGTTTTGAAAAAAATTATATCCTAGAATGGAAAGTTCATATGCACTACTATTTTTTTGAAAGGTCAAAATATAGGGCTGTGTGTCATATTTTCAACATTTATATGCCCCAAACTTTTAAGAGTTTAAACTTACACTAAAATTCTGTACTACCCCTACCTTGACTTTAGGTTTTCCACGATTTCAATTTGAATGCTATGCATATGTATATTTACTGGTAACATTCCCAAGTTAAGTCTCTACGAGATGAAACAAAGAGATCATATCTGGGATCCAGAACCAGTATGAAACTATTCTAATAAAAAATTGAAATAATTTCAGAATACTATAAATGTAAAGTTTAGTAGTTATTTATTGCAACATTCAAGACTATATAAAGTATCCAACCCTGCCTCTGTCTCCAGTCCACATCTTACTGTATGTCTATTTATCTTTAGAATATCACAATTTCTGCCTCAAATGGTCAGTGAAGAATTCTTGTCACAATAATATTATCTCTTACTATATATCTAACATAATTTGGCTAATATATGGCAAGAAGTTTTAAACAAAGCCATATTTACAAAAACTGTATGTATGAAGTTACCAATCTGTTAAATGAATTTACTAAAAGTTTTATAGAACTGACTGTTGGAATCTGTTTTTTTGCATAAATTCAAAGCACAGTTATTGTTTTCTATACAGAAGACCTTTATAATAATAAAATCATAGCCTTTACAGGCTAAATTATCTGTTTTTACCAGGGATTAGGGATTTTTCTCTGTTTTTTGCCCCTGGGGCCTCAAGTTTGCAAAATAATTCTGCGCTGTTTCTCTGAATATGGAATATTTAGTACATTTTTAGGATAGAACACACTATTGTTAGTTTTATCGAGGTATTTTTGTATCTCTAGCTAGAATTTTTATGCCGTAGTCACAAGAAACCACATTCAGGTGTAACAGCTTACGTTTGGGTTTTCAACAGGACGAAAACACCCCCAACAACAATATTCATCAAGGATCCATGAGTTTCAATGACTGCCAAGAGTAAATATAAGCACTTGCTTAACAATTTAATTACGAATGAGCATATATTATGAATTTACTTTGCATACAGGGCTTTAGGTAAACTATGCATATTTTAAATTGTGAATTTATGCTGATTCATCATAGTAAAGGCCAAGGATTTCTCAATCTTCATGAAATATTTATATAACTTTATGTTTGAGTTAATTTCATTAAAACTCTGAAGATAAACCAGATTTGTTCTCTTTTTTTTCACCCAACATTTAGTGGGGACATTTGTGTTCTCAGACACATTCTTCTTTTATTTTTTTAAAAAGATATCTGTAAGATTACCAATATTTTTTTTTATTTTAACATAAAAATTTTAAGTATTTTTTATATGATTTCAGAAGTAAATATCTTACGTATAATCGTGGAATGCGTATTTTCTGGCATTCTATAGTTGTTACAGCCTGTTTTGCCATTGCTCTACCCCATGCAATAGCATTATTTCCACAGAATTCCCAGGTATGTATTTCATATTTTACTTTGAATAAAGAGCCTTGTCGGTTACTACTAAACGGCATTGCTAACATTAGAGTAAACAGTAACTAAACATTTGCTATGTGGTTACTACATCAAACAAACAAAAAATGGAATGATTAAAAGCATTATTTACAGGTAAACTTGAAAAAAGCAACATCAAAATTTATAAACTTAGTATGTTCAAAGGGGGTTAAAAATTGTGGCACACATCTTAGTTTTCAAAACTGTTGGTATGCATTTTAACATATTTATCAACATTCTATAGTAAAGAAAATGCAATTCATTTTTGTATAAAATTTTGTTGATATGAAATATTATGCACCATCTTATTTCACAATAACATTCTCTATATCAGGACAGATAAGCTTGATATAAAAAAAGATATATATATATATATATAGTTTTAAAGGGGAGGTATCTTCAAAGATTTCATTTGGTATAATCTGGTACAATTTCATATCTTTCAAATTTTATTAGGTGATAAGAAATTGACATTGGTAACCCAAATTGTTCTTTTTATTTCTAAATATTTACGGTTGGAAAGCTGCCTTCTCAAAGAATTTTTCATCTTCCTGTCATCCAGTTTTCTTTATTTAACATAAATGTCCTTTTGTAAGCCATTACATGTATCAGAAAAAAGTATTAACAAAATTACCAAACTCCAAGGTAAATTTGAAAAGAGGGGAAGTCCATAAAACTTGACAAATTCATACATTAGACTATATCAATCAATGGAACAAATGGAAAACAACTGTCATATTCCTGACATAGTACAGGCATTGTCCTAGGACTTTAACCACTTACATAAAAAGTAAGGGCTATTCCATTAAAATGCATGTGGGAGGGTAGGAAGGGAAGTTTAATTATTGAATGTGGGTCAGGGGTCTTTTTTCAGTATGCGTCTATTACCATTATGCAAAATTATCTAAAAAATGGTTCTTGGTTGTAGGTATATTTTGAAAGTCCCTTCCTATCCTCCCACATACATTTTAATGGAATAGCCCTATGATAATGATGTAAATCCAAGCAGCATGTCTGCATCAAATGTTTTGTTCATGTTTTATTTGAACAACACAAGATTTTATATTGTAAACAGGTGAAATTGTTGTAAAATTTAAAAAGTACAATAACCATAACAAAACCAGTTCTGATAATTTTGAAAGAAATGTGTTTATTGCATACATTAATATTATTGGACATTAATAAACAAACTGCTTTATGTCTATTTTAGATAAATGTAAGTGAATTAGAAGAAGACTTTAAAGACAAAACAGCCCAAACTGTACTGTACTACAATAAAGGCCTATAGAATTGTAATCATTATATTTGTGACTTGTTTTATACATGTTTATATACAGATGTATTTTTAATAAAATGAATTGAAGGAAGGATGGCACAAATTATTAACTTGATTTTAGGGAAGAATCAGGACATGTTATATAAGCTGACATTGCCAAAAAAATTAATGATAACTATAAGTGCTATTTTTCGGCATTCATCTTTAAGGTTTTAAGGAATCTTGTCCTCCAAAACTACTTAGCCAATTGGAATATAAATTATCATGAATTGTGTTTGGGAGGTATAATATAGAACAAGAATATTTGATTATAGTGCCCCATGAAGGTAAAGGGTACTTGAAGCCCTTACTTTTGAGTGATCTGAGAAATTACCAGAGTTTGAATATATGGTTTTTAGTAGTTTATTTCTATTAATAACAATAGGATAATAAAAAGTAGAGGGAGAAATACATGTAGACAACCTTCTCTACATTAAAATCTTGAGTTATATTCAGCATGTTGGATGATATGAAGTTTAGTAGGGTTGCTACTATTTTGAGATTTCACATATATTTAAAATATACAAGATAGCAGCTATTTCAGGGAACCAATTCACAGATATTAAGCATATGATGATGTAGTGACCCTTCCTTCATAGTAAGATTATGGTGATGAGCTGTTATCAAAGTTGGCTGTTACAACAACTTATTTTAACAGAACACAATTGGAAGTATACACATTGGTTTCTCCTCTAAAATCAATTTGTAGATTGGTTTTTTTGCTATTCATGAATGATTTGATTGTGATTTCACTTACAATTTGTGATTTATATGCTTAATTTAATTTAAAATATATACCAACTTGGAACAATTCCTTTGAAAAACCAAAAAAGACATTCTTTTACCAGCCATAATATTTATTAATCAAACGTTTACAATTTCATTCTATATTTTCTATTATTTTGATATATTTTACATTCTCTATTGAAAAAAATTGATTCTTGAAAATTATTTTAGATATCAGACGAAAACATTTAAAGAACTTTTAAGTGAGGGGAAAAGATAAATGACAGCTGATTAGTGCTAAACTAAACTAAATGATTTTTCTTGGATTTCTTAGTAGCTGTCCTATCATCGTATACCCCTGATTTAGTCTATTTATATTTTACATGAAATGATATATGATTAATAACTCTTTTTTTACTCCCCAAAAATAGTATTATTCACTGCATTGAACATTTAGGATCTATTGCAATGAATTTTGTATAGTAGGGAAGAGTAAGAGGTGTCTTTTTTGTGTCAAATCAAATATTCACTTATTATAAATCTGTAGCTAAAAAAACACCATAGTTAGTATGCAGTCATATTCAGAAAACATTCAATCTCCTATAATTGTTAAAAATGTGTCTGTTTTAAGATAATCACGTAATGCATACTCATTGGTTAATAATGTGTCACAACTTATTATGTACAAATAATTATTTGTTTTTATATAAATGATACATATAGCTATAATGTTAATTGATCACTTAAAACATACAAAGCTATTTTCCTTTTAATGCAGTAGAACTGGAGTAAAGAATTTCACAATTAAGGTGATTGAATATCTTCAGCTTCATATTTGATTTGATCTTCCAGCTGTTTTGATTCGACCACCACCTATGGGTCTTGTGATGACAAAATGCATGTCTGGTGTACCATATTATAAGCCTCGCATCTTTGATTAGTTTTTACATCTTCGGCTATCATAGGATTTTTTTTGTGTTAATAAGACCGCAAATCTTTGCAGCCATATAATGGTATAGCTATGTCGTTGTCGTTGTCTGAAAACATTGGGTTTCCAGACAATAACTTGAGTATAAGTGTATGATTCTCTATGAAATTGTACCACAAGGTTCCATACCACGAAAAAAAGATTGTGATTGATTTTGTGGGTTATTGTCCTAACTGTTCAGTAATTAGGGGCCAAAACAAGCATTTTTCTTGTTTCAGGACAATAACTTGTTTATAAAAGTATGGATCTCTATGATACCAAAAGATTCCATACTTCAAAAGGAAGGTTGGGATTGATTTTGGGGGTAATGGCCGAAACCGTTTAGGTATTAAGAACCAAAAAGGGAAAAAAACAAGGATTTTTTAGATTCGGGACAATTACTTGAGTATAAGTCTATGGATCTCTATGAAATTGTACTACAAGGTTCCAAAACAAAAAAGGAAGGTTGTGATTGATTTCGGGGGTTCTGGCCCAAACTGTTTATAAATTGCATATTTTTTAACCAATTTCAAAGGGTTTAATTTAAAGTCTTCAATTCTTTGGGTTCTATAATATGCTGAATCTAATTAACCGCGTATTTATATTTTGGAATCTCGGACCCATTATCAAATTGGTCCATATTAAGGTCCAAAGGATCCAAAATTAAACTTTGTTTGATTTCATCAAAAAAGAATTCTTGGGGTTCTTTGATTTGCTGAGTCTTATCATGTATTTAGATTTTGGATATTGTACCATAAAAGGCAATTTCAAGTTTTAAAGTTCATAGATAACATTCTTTTGTCTCAGAAACATATGGTGTGTCAATAATTTAATCACAATCCAAAATCAGAGCTGTATATAGCTTGAATGTTGTGTCCATACTTGACCCAACTGTTCATGGTACGAACTCTGTGGTCGTATCAAGCTGCGCCCTGCGGATCATTTTATTGTTTGTTACCTTGATTTGTCTTTTCCTAATCAATTTACGAGATTTAAACATCAGTAAGCTACTGTCGCCTTAATTTCAAATTGCTTTGATTTGAGCGCCACTGATGTGTCAACACATGTTTAGCCTACTGCATTCAAAGCATAGTAAGTTTTTTACATCTAAAAATTACAATCATTACAACGCTCCTCAGAAAAAGTGTATCTTATGTAACAATTTTAACTAAATATCTATTAGTATCTACTCTCAAAACTATCTGCACATACAACAATACAACAAAAACTTCACTAGCAGCAAAGCTTTTATTTGACATTCCACCATTCTTGCTTGAGCCATGCTCAAAAGTTGATAACACAATTTGTATTGTCTTTTCCGCCATAATTAATTTTGTGTTGACATACTATAAGTTTTATAAAAGAGGCGAAAGATACCAAAGGGGCATTCAAACTCGTAGGTCGATAACAAACTGACAATGTCATTACAAAAAACGATGAAAAGACAAACAAAAACACAACAAATAGTTTGGTATAGGTATAAACTGATATTTAAAGTAGGGAGGTATTTTCAAGTGAACTGATTTATGATCAAGGATATTGCCATTGTTGATTTCATCGAGATCTTATAATCTATGTTTTAAAAAGTAAACATAAGGAAAAGTACACACATTGCCTTTTTCTCAATGTTTGCATTTGAAGTCGTGCGTTAACTTTAACTAAAATCTTCTCCTTGGAAACAACTTAGCCAAATTTAACCAAACTTGGCCACAACCATTATTGGGGTATATAGTTTTAAAAATATGTCCGATGACCCCGCCTGCCAACCAAGATGACCGACATGGCTAGAAATAGAACATATGGTAAAAAGTTTTTCTTATTATTTTATAACCGCTATAAAAAGAGAAATTCTGACGGGAGCAAAAATGTTCAGAATGTTAAACTCTACCTATTGTTCATTTAAGTCAAAACTGTCGGACGACTTCTTGTAGGAGTTATTGCCCTTAGATGATGAATTTTACCAATTTTAAAATTTTTTGTCTATTATCTCGAAAGTTATTATAGATCGGTAGAAACTTTGAATAGTAAAAATGATCAACAAGACAAGAGCTACAAATAAGTCAACATGGCCGAAATATTCAGTCGACTCCTTATTTGAGTGATTGCCTTATAAAGAAGTTTAAAAAAAATGCGTTTTTGGATAGGAACTTTAAATAGCAAAATGATCAGCAAGACAAGATCTACAAATAAGTCAACATGACCGAAATTGTTAATCGAATCCTTATCGAAGTTATAGCCCTTTAATGACGATTTTTCCCATTTTTGCCTATTATCTCGAAAACTGTAATAGATAGATAGAAACTTTAAATAGCACAAGTGATCAGCAAGACAAGATCAACAAATAAACCATAATGGCCGAAATATTCAGTCGACTCATTATTTGAGTTATTGCCCTTTAATGATATTTTTTAACATTTTATGCCTATTATCTTGAAAACTATATAGATTTATAGAAACTATAAACAGGAAAAAATATCAGCAGGATAAGATCTACAAATATGCCAACAAGATTATAGAGTTATTCCCCTTTAATGAAGATTTTTACTAAAAAGTGGCCATTGTTGAAGATGCAGGTGAGCGACACAGGCTCTTTAGAGCCTCTAGTTTTGTGACGCCACACTATGTATCCAAATTAGAGGAAAGGAAAGGTAGAAAGTTAACATTATCCTTTAATCCCGACCAATGAAGAAATCTAAATAATTCAAACCAAAAGTTAACTATAAAAACAATAATCAACCGGTTTCGAAAAACATCAATCGTAAAACATTAAATAATTTTTGATAAAAAATTATCGAGCAATTTTTTATGTTTCATAATAAGTTAAAACTCTAAGTCAAGTCGCACAGTTTTTTCCAAGTTGATAGTTTGAATGACTTGTCTGTAATTGACATGCCTTCTGACGTAATCCAATTTCTGATATTGTGCAATGTAATGTTTAAGTGAATTTGACATTTATAACGGAAGCTTTTTTTTACTGCAAAAATGCTACAGTTTTCAATAAAATACTAAGTATTCCTTTAATTTAATACGAAAGCATTATTACAGCAATGTACACGAATAGCTGCATTTGAAAATGATTGGTCAATCAATTGTTCACAAGGCTTTGTTTTTGTTGATAATAATGTTCTGATTCATATACATGTATATACATTCTAATATGTCTCTTTTTATCTAACACAAATGTCATGATACTACATGTAAATTAGCGCAATAGTTCGTTTTTAATGAAAAGGATCTGCAAATCTAATTTGCGTCAGAAACAAAACAGTCTAACCACGTTTTAAATGGCCTTTATTCTGCCAAGAAGTCTGCCGTTTTTATTTCGAAATGCTATTTTGTTCTAACAAAACATTAAAAGCAAGCATATATACCAGAAACTTAATCCCTGTGCATTGCTCCTAGAGTATTGTTCTTTTGTTTTAACCAATTATGGGGTAATTTCCATTTGGAAAGCAATATGTCAAATGTTACAGGTTAGGTGGTTAGAAAAAGGATACTTGAGTTTATGTTGAAATGGGTTTGCTTATTTTATAATTAAATGATAATTTCCTCAATTTATTTCGATAAAAAAATGTTTATCCTAGGACTGCTATTAGTATAATATGATTAAAGTTTGCATTTTTACATGTAATTCATATACCTAAGTGGATCTGTAGTTTAAGAATAAGAATAACAACTTGTTCAACATGAAACTGTTTTGCACCAAGTTATGTGTCCGGATGGTATTGATAGTTTCAGGTATTGTATGGTAATTTGTTGATACAGTTTCCTTTTTCTATTTCTTTAAATTGTTTCTTTTTAATTAACCTTTAATTTGATGAAATATTTAATTATTTTTAAGCATTTATACAGTTTTTCAAACTTCCAACTATTATTCATTTCATATCTGAAGGGAAACAACCTAAACAATTTTCTCTGTGTTTATTCAATTACTCTGTTTTATATAAGTCACAAATAATCTTGAACTTTTCATAATTTCGCAATTCTTATACGATAAGCACTACATGAAAATGATTTCAGAAGCATTCAAAAAGTATTAAATCTGTCGGAAAGATTGTAAGCTTTCTATTTTTTTAGGTTATACTGACAGTTAACAAACTTCAATAAAATTTCAAAGATGAAATTTAAAACTGTTTACAAACAAATAGTTTCCCCATTATGGGTATATAGAAAATATCCTAATACATAAATGTACGTTAAATGCAATAAAACAAACAACGAATATTTATAATTTAAAACCATTATTTCATACATTACGGTCAAAGAAACCTAATAATTGTTTACTGTAAACTATTAGTTATTGAAACTAAGATAACAAACGACGACGTTTTTAAAAGTTCAAGAGGTCAATTTAAACATTTCTTATGTTTTTTAGAGAATGTATTTGTCAGTGTAATACATACTGCAAATCAAGGAAATGTGGACTATAGCAGCAGCTATGTAATCCAATCATATACATCTTTATTACAACATGGCTTCGATGTTTCGAAGAAAACTCATTTTGAGTTCATGGTGAAAGCATGCCAAGACACTTCAGTATCTTTAGTAGGATAACCTTAACACAAGTCTATAAGGTATTATGTGTTAGACACCGGCTCCGAATACAATAGAGCCATATCTCTTTATAACGAAAACGGTCAAATATTTGTGTCAGCACTGAATTTAAAGCCACTAGACTGCCAAACATACAGGGGATTTTGGATAAGCTGTTCAAATGGAGTAATGAAGCATGGAAAGGTTTTACAAGTAAATATAAAAGTAA